GGGGGGTGTAGGTGTGTTTGTTCCTTCTGAAGTCCACAATCATCTCCTTTGTCTTCTTCACATTGATGTGAAGGTTATTCTCTTTGCACCAGCTCTCCAGGTGTTCCACCTCCTGCCTGTAGCTGGACTCATCATTGTATGTGATGCATCCCACCACCGCTGTATCATCTGCAAACTTTACAATGTGACAGCCTGGATGGGTAGCTGCACAATCATATGTGAGCAGAGAAACAGAAGGGGGCTCAACACACATCCCTGAGGAGAGCCAGTGCTGAGGGTTATGGTGGAGGAGGAGAGGTTGTGGATCCTCACAAACTGTGGTCTGTTTGTTCAAAAGTCTAGTACCCAGTTGCAAATGGAGGGGCTTAGTCCTAGTGTGGATAGTTTGTCCATCAGGGTTTGGGGGATCATGGTGTTGAAGGCGGATGTGAAGTCCACAAAGAGCATACGGACGTAAGAGTTTTTCTGCTCCAGGTGGTTGAGCGCAGTGTGGACCACAGAGGAGATGGCATCCTCTGTTGATCGGTTCTCACGGTATGCATACTGATGAGGGTCCTCGTTGATGTTGATGGTTGTTTTGATGCGAGTCATGACCAGTTTTTCAAAGCATTTAGCGACTATCGGGGTGAGGGCCACTGGCCGATAGTCATTCAGACCAGTCACTGTAGAGCTTTTTGGGACTGGGATGATGGTGGCAGTCTTCAGGCAGTCTTGTGGTGGGAACTGTCTCCAAGGTAAGTGAGGTGTCAAAGATGTCTGCCAGCACCTCACAGAGCTGATCAGCACATTCCTTCAACACTTTTCCGGGGATGTTGTCTGGGCCAGTTGTCTTGTGCGGATTAATCCTCCTGAAGGTACTCCTTACTTCTGCTGAGGTCACGCTGAGATGCTCTTCATCCGGTGGTGAGGTGAGTCTGGTGCTGGGTGGTCTGTTCAGGTCTTCAAAGCGTGCATAGAACTTGTTGAGGGCATCAGGCAGAGATGGGTCTTTGGGGCATTGTTCACTCATTCCTTTATAATCTGTTATGCACTTAATGCCCCTCCACATGCTCCGAGGGTCTTGTGAGATGAATTGACCCTCGATCCTCTTTGCATATGTGGCCTTGGCCCTCTTAATACCAGCAACCAGCTCTTTTCTTGTCCTACTCAGCTCCTCTGAGTTTCCAGACCTGAAGGCAGTGTTCCTGGCTTCCAACAGGGTACGCACCTCTGCATTCAGCCAAGGTTTTCTGTTTGGGTAGCTTTTAACATTTCTGATAGTGGAGACGGTGTCAGTACATGTACTAATGTAACCCAGAACTGAGGATGTGTATTGGTCAAGATCAAGCGAACCTCCATTTTCAGCAGCTTCTCTGAAAACCTGCCAGTCTGTTCGGTCAAAACAATCTCTCAGTATGGGGCCACTGTCCTGGATCCAGCATTTAACTTTCTTTTGTACAGGTCTGGAGCGTCTCAGCGGGGGCATGTAAGCAGGAGCCAGGAAGATTGAGATGTGGTCTGACAGTCCTAGGTGGAGGCGGGGTTCGGCTTTGTATGCATCTTTTACGTTCGTGTAAACACGGTCCAGCGTGTGGTCTCCACGTGTTGGAATCGCCACATGTTGATTAAAGCTTGGGAGACAGTCCTTTAGATTCAGGTGGTTAAAGTCTCCAGCTACCACGTAAAGAGCCTCGGGGTGTTTCTTCTGCAGCGAGCTGATGATATCATGTAGCTCCTGCAGTGATTCAATAGCATTAGCGTCCGGAGAAATGTAAACAACAGAGATGAAAGTCACCGTGAACTCTCGGGGTAGATAATGTGGCCGACATTTCACTGTTATTTGCGCCAAAGCCTTCGAGCATGAGCTATTTACAACAGTACAGTTCGTGCACCAACTTTTACTCACGTAAATGCACACTCCGCCTCCCCGTGATGTCCCCGTTAGCTCGCTGCAGTGGTCCGCTCGAAAAAAAAGTCTGTCATCCAGCTGGAAGACTGTGTCCGGCGTTTCGCTTGTAATCCACGTTTCCGTGAGGCAAAGCACTGCACACTTCTTCATCTCTTCTGAGGCGCCCGCTCTCAGACGAAGTAAATCCACCTTGTTGTCCAACGAGCGGACATTCGACAGTAAGAGACGGCATGGGGAGTTTACCGGCTTTAGCGTTAGCTCGTAGCCTCACCATAACCTCCGCCCGGCATCCTCTCCTCTTAAGCCGGGAGCAGCGCTTCCTCTTCTGCCCGCTGGAACGCCTCTGCTGCAGCTTCCAGGTAGATGACTTTAAGATCTGCATTCTACCGAGCGTAGTTTTGAGTTTGTTGCGGATTTCTGCTATATTTCGAGGCAAATCCACTCCTATACTCATCAGTTCGGTTCGGCTATAGTTCACACGCATAAATTGCGCGGTCAGGCACAGAGTCAATATCAAAACTTCTAAAAACTGGGATGGTACCGGGAACCTGTGAAACTGCAACTGCTCTGAGCGTGGCCATCTTGCATCTAAGGTGCTCAGGTCCAAAAACCAAAACCTCAGTCTTGTCTGTGTTCAACAGGAGAAAATTAAGGGTCATCCAGGTTTTTTATGTCTTTTAGACATGCTTGTAGTCTAAGTAGCTGATATGATTCATTGGGTTTAATGGACAAATATAATTGTGTGTCATCAGCATAACAATGAAAATTTATCCCATGCTGTTTAATAACTTTACCTAATGGAAGCATATATAAAGTAAAGAGTATTGGCCCAAGCACTGAGCCCTGAGGAACTCCATGACTAACTTTGGTGTATGAAGAATATTTATTATTTACATTTTACGGGCGGCTGTGGCTGAGTGGTTAGAGCAGTCGTCCTCCAATGCAAGAGTTGGAGGTTCGAATCCACCAGCAGTCACATGCCGAAGTGTCCCTGGGCAAGACACTAAACCCCTTGTTGCCTCTGATGTGTGTCCCATCGGTGTACGAATGTGATAAATCACTGATTAGTCTCTTTAGAATGATTTGTTCCATTAGCTTTGTAGAGATCTAGTAGAGTGCAGTATGAATGGGTAAATGAGGACACAGATTGTAGTGTAAAGCGCTTTGAGTATCTCGATAAGATAGAAAGGCGCTATACAAGTACAGTCTATTTACATTTACAAACTGGAATCTATCAGATAGATATGATTTAAACCATTTTAGAGCTGTTCCTGTAATTCCAACATCATATTCAAGCCTCTGTAGTAAAATATTGTGATCAACTGTATCAAATGCAGCACTGAGGTCTAACAGGACCAGTATAGACACAAGTCCATTGTCTGAGGCCATGAGAATATCATTAGTAACTTTCACCAGTGTACCAAAAAAAGTCCACGCTCAATAATCCAGGTATAAAGGTATAATCCAGAAACTGTCCCGATGACCTGACTGAAAATTGTTGTTTTCACCAGTGTAGTTTCAGTGCTGTAGTGAGCTCTAAACCCTGACTGAAAGTCTTCAGATTATTTCTTTGCAGATGTTCACGTAACTGACCTGCAACAATTTTCTCTAGAATTTCTGAGATGAAAGTTAGATTAGATATAGGTCTATAGTTGGCCAGGATTCCAGAGTCAAGGTCATGTAAAGGTTTAATTACAGCAATCTTAAAAACACTGTGGTACGTAACCATTTATTAAAGACAAATTAAGCAGATCCAAAATGTGGACATTAATTAGGGGAAATACCTCTTTAAACAGTCTGGTTGGGATGGGATCTAGCAGGCATGTGGATGGTTTGGATGAGGTTATTATTTTTGACAATTCAGAACTCAACAGGACAAAAACTGTCCAAACACAAATCAGACTAGTGAAATTTTTTGTCTCATGTGACATGTAAGCAGAAGCAATAGTAGGAAGGATGGTTTGAATTTGTTCCCCTAATTTAAATAATTGTATTTATAAAGAATATCATTAAGTCATCACTGCTTATAGTTGTAGGGTTTCACATTTTATGCTCCTCAGCTGCCTGTGCTCCTTATGAGCGTGTGTTTACATCTGCATGTGACTAACATATAAGAAACTTTACGGTTTACACTGAAGTGAGGCTGTGTTCATTATTTTGTGTTATATATTATGTTTTGTTGGCTGTTGTGCTATTTGAGGTTAAATGTGGTTCATTTTTCATCTCCTTAATGCATATAAAGCAGTAACAAGCATTTGTAAGTTAATTCAGAAAGTTAAATTAGCTAAACATAGAAAAACAAATGTCATGTCATTCTTAGGCCATGCTGTCTTTACCCTTTTATGCTGTGCATCTATTCTCTTCTGACCTCCACCGACTAACGCCGCCTTCCGTTTCTTCTCAATCCTCTCCTTGACGGACAGGTGGCTGACCGAGTACCAGCGACAGTCCTGGAGGAGATCCCTCTGCGTCGAACAGACTGATGGTGCGCCATACTTTGCTTCCGCTGAACTCCTGAAAGAGACCTTGAAACCATTTATTAATCTGCAACTGAGACGTGCTACACCGAAGGCCGCCATCTTTGCTGTGAGAAGGCTGAGGTGGCCGTGGGAAAGGCAGTCGTTCAACCAATACCGTATGAGGAGCGTATCTTTCTGACCAATCATAATAAAGAATTTTAGGAATGGGCGGGACTTAAAATTTTAACTAATAATTTCCCTGAGTTTTGTCTGTCAGGTACGCTCCACTCTATTCGTTCTGTTCCTCTATTGAAAAGTAAAAAAACAAACAAACAAAAACCAGTACAGTACCTTAGTTGTATTTTTTGAGTAAAAGCGGCGAAATAATGCAATAAAAGTAGTAGTTTATGTTTTGTGAAGCATTTCTATATTGTTTCCAAGATGACAAGAATCCAGTTCATCACTAAAACATTTCTTATTAAACACCATCTCATCCTAATATTTAATTCATGTAACCTTTATTTAGACAGGTTAATCTCATTGAGTCTCAAGGACTCATTTACAAGAGAGATCTGTTTTA